ATTTACGAAATATAATTAAAATTTATAACCTGAATTTAAGATTGAATAGCTATAAAAATATTATATTTAAAATCAGTGGCGTAGTCAGGGGGGTGGTTTTGCCTTTGAAATGTAAGAAAAATAAAATCAATTTTCTGTGTCATAGATAGCAATTTTCCGTAGCTTGAAATGCTTTTTAGACCTCCAAGACTACTAAAAACACACGTATTCCAGCGTTCGATCGGACCCGCAAGCTGTTTCAATCTGACATAGCAAAAAAAAAAAATTTCAGAACTCCCGCTTTGAAAATTTCTGGCTACGCCCCTGTTTAAAATTATTGAAAGTAAGTTTACAACGTAAACAATGTTAGATTTTGTCACTTAATTCCGACAAAATAATGAACTTTTGTTTTGGGCCGTGAAATGAGTGGCTACTATTTATGGAAGATATTGGACTAATTTTGAAATACGAATTTCTCCAGTACGGAATAAAATATACAATCGACCTAACGAATTGAAACGAAGGCGTAAATGGCCCAAGCTTGATGAGGTGTCCGATTTGCTTAACATAGACATAAATTGTGAACACATTGGACCCCACTAAAGTGGCGTTTGCGGTCTAACTATATCTGGTCATTAATATAAGTACTGCAACCGTCCCTATTGGACGAATTCCTCTTGTAATGTATGGTTATATCATATAAATGTTTTGTACCGCACATAGGGATTGGATTAATTAGACTGGAATGAATATTACAATTCTGCTTTGTAAATTACGCTTAATATAAAATATTTTATTTAGAATCATTTTGCAGAAGCATCTTGCTATCATACAATTGCTAACTAAATTGTGATGAAGTCCAAACATTCTCATATTCTACGTCACATTGAATTCAAATAAACCGTTTTTGTTTTCTCCCAATTGCAATTTTCTATCTCGTCAATTTTAACTAAGCTAATGCTTATCACTAACTTATTCAATTCTAACCAAAGACTCCCATACCCGGGTATTTATGGGGTATGGGAGTCTTTGGTTATCGTTGAAAAGTGACGTGCCACATTGTTGGTTTTGAAATGAAAAAGTAGTTAAGCAAAGAGTAATATAGTATGTTGCAGGTTTTAATATGAATATGCCACAAAAAATATAGGGAAACGAATTTTTGCCAAATATTGGAAAATTCAGCTTTAACAAGAAGATGCAAAAAATATATTACTCGCATGTAGTATAGGCTATATCCGATATAACATCATATTGCATACCAATAAAAAAATATTTTGTTCTTAGTGATAAAATATTGAGAGTTTTTCCAATCGGCCAACTGTACTTTCATCATATATACATAAAATTCTCGTTTCACAGTTGACAGTACTCCTTTAAAACTAATTTATTATCTTGCCAAATGATAGATCTATGTACCACAAGCCGTGTGGTACTGAGATGAAACTTGCCCTTATTATGACTTTTTGCAAAGGTCAGCGGGGGCAGCCCGGTTTATATCAACGAACAGAGTTTTTATGATCAAAATTGGGGTGTACCATCATCAAATGAAATATTTGATTCTTTATTGAAAAGCTTATAAAACAGCAATTGGAACTAAAGTATAATATTCATTAGTATATGAACAATGCGACAAGATAAAATCGGAACCTTGGGAAAGAAATTATTGCTGTGATTTAGGTCTAATTTTACTAGTTATGCATACAATTACGGCCGTGCCGAGATACAGATTAAAATTACATCACCGTCGTATATGAAGTTGTTTTGGAATTATATGCAAGTAGGTTGATATTTCCATACCAAAGTTACAAGCCAAGTTGGAGGTTACAAATTAGGACTGCACGAAACCATACATGTTGAAAGCGTGAAAATATTGAAATCCGTTAAATAGCATTCACCATATATGGCAACGTGTACGATCTGCGTGACAATCTAAAATATTTCAAACGAATTTGGACCAGAAAGCACGACTGACGATTTTAAATTTAAGTTCCTTTATTATCCTTCACCAACTTAGTAATCTGTGTGATGGAAAACATACTAAAGTATAAATGTACTCCTCTTTTCAGTAGCAATCTGTATCTAATATATATAATTTTAAAGCATTAGTCGATGACTCAACCGTTGGCAACTAAATTGCATAATAATCCAAGATTTACCGATTTGAGGACTCAATTAATTTTCGCAAAGCATAAAAAAATAGTTTCCATAGATAAAACAAAATTTTGAGAGAACTTGCTTGGTTTTATGACCAAAATCTCACTGCTACAGCTTGAAACATCAACTTATTGAAAGTCTACTTCCAGTAACATACCCTGGTGTGCATACCAGGTATGGGAGTCTTTGGTTAATATTGAGAAACGACGTTGCGCCTTGTTGGTTACGAATTTCAGGAAACTGTAATGTATGTTCACGCAACTGTTAAGCCAACAGTAATAATAATAAGGGATATTGCATAACTATGACAATAGCAGTAATTGGATCTGCCACGATGCATATATGTTAAGGAAATGACAGCCAGATAAATTCTAGCAATGTAACACAAGCAATGGAAATTGTCTCAAATTCTCATCAAGTTAATTGTAGAAATTCTTTTCCTGCTGTTCATGGTTATTAAATTTTACTTCTGATTGAGAATTGTCGTTTTGAGATTTACAAATCTTTCAAATTTTGAAGTGACTAGAATGTCACAAAGACGGATTAAGGCCTAATTCTTCAATGTTTAATTTTCAAGGTTCAGATTTGATCTTGTCGCATTGTTCAGTATCATTTTGAACACATTACGCCTACTTATGCAAACCATGAGAGTAATCGATGTGACCCGCCATTACTAAGTGCTATTCATTGCTCACCAAGCTTTGATATTTTTATCCGAAACCTCTGGCTGAATATTTCTTGTGGAATTATACTTTCATATTATTTAGTTCATAATGGTATTTTATGAGCGTTTGATATAGAATCAAATATTTTATTTGATATTAACATCCCCGAATCTGATCAACCATATAGGCCCACTTCGTATCGAATAACTAAAAGTCATTATGCAAAAAAGTGTTCTAAATGCTTAAGTGATTAATACGTACAATTTGAAAATCTATTTATGACTTTTTTGGGTTTGCAGTTTGATTACTAGAATATATGCCTAAGAATTATAGGTAAGATCGGGCGCAAAGATGCCAGCCCGGCCCGACTGATTAACTGGATTTGCAGGCTCAAGCCCGAAGCAAACCCGAAATTTCCTATTTTATTTAGGAGTTCATTGAATTGTCATTGTGCAGGAGTTTAGTACAGTTTTTTGCAGACTACGGTCTCTCGTGGCCAAAACACGGCCGAAGCGCCTCATTTAAAAAAAAAGGTCAGCGATAGTGAAGCCCGACTCGGCCCGAATTTCGGGTCGGCTCGGGCTTGAGATCTTAGCTCTACTAAGAATACAGTCATCGGTTACAGATGTGGGTGATGACCATAGCGCCTTATAATAGTTTCCATATATATATATACTTGCTCTTCATAAGCCTTTAAATCCGAGCAAGCTATGAGAAATTGCTGCTAAAATGCTGCTAGGTAAAAAAGATCTCGAGGTAGAGATCTCGATTCAGCATTGCCTCCTAATTAATTACACTCTGGGTAGGGTTAGTTGATTGCCTATTCATATTTTTATTCTGTTACCCCTCTATCGATATCGATGACCTAACATAAGAAACCCTGCTTTTAGGCAAAATATTAAGCTAGGGGGGAAGTGATTTCCCCAGAACAGAAGGGCTTCTTATTTCTTCCGAAGGCGTCTTCGAGCATGTTCTCATGCTTGATTCGGTCATTGCGGATATCAAGAAGAAGATACACAAGCGTAATGTTAATGTTGCGTGGCTTGACATCCTTATCGTGGCATTCCCCTCCAAGGAGATATTCCAGCAAAGGCCGCTACGGCGGCTTATAGGGCGCAGGTAGCCCCAAAGATCACCAGTTTTCACGATTGAAAAAATCTAATGTCAGAGGCGGCGTCGCCTCCTGGACTCGGTAAGACGTTGCCACAATCTCGCCCAGCTGAGCACGAGCAACCGAACGGACCATGTATAGTCGGGGGAGTTCAAGGTTTTGAACGCCTAGGTAACCCGAAATATGTCAGCTTCGCGGGCAACATTCGGGACGCCCAGACCCCCGACCGCAGCCGTGGAGTGTACCCCGGTGCACCAAAATGTCCAAGGACTTCGAAAATGGCACCATGCCTAACCGACCCGTAGGAATCAAACTATTCAGAATAAAATGCGACTTTGAGATAAAGCTCACACTTTCAATTCAACAAGTATCATGACATACAACAAACTTGATAAATAATCTAATCTGATTTATAAATACTTCGTTATCTAAAATGATAAAACAAAACCTCAGAAATATCGTAACCGTTTTGTAATACCATTAAATTTTTATATACAAATGACACATATAACCAATCTAAAATCTCAAAGAAGACATTCGAACGAATTTTATAAATAAGTAAATATTCTCTGCTATTAGACAAAATTCCTAAGTGTGATCACCTAGCGCCAACCATTCTTGCTTTTAGAAAAATTGAGGGTATTCAAGATAAACATTTTCTTCTGATATTGGTTAAATAGAAAAGGGGGGATTCAAGAACTGCAAACATCATCTCAAACTCACATACTCATGTTCCCATCGTCTTCTTCAAATTTGAAGTGGGACAAGTCCCTTTAATAAATAAAATCTTGCATCTTTGAGAACTACGTTTTTGTATGTGACTGTAAAGATGGTAAAAAGCTTCGCATTATAATATTGATATACTATGTTGTACATGAAATAGTCTTAATATTGACGAGCATCGTTGACGGTGGTTCCATTTGCAGATCACATGAATATATATTGCTTCCTTACGCGGCCCAGGAGTTTGTGCTGGTTAATAACAAAATAAACAAAGTAATTAGGGTTAAATTAGTTATCGAAATCTGTCGTATCGTGATTGATTGGTTGATAAAAAAGGTAAACAACATAGCTCTTATACGTGTTGACATCTCTGCTCCGGGGATGAACCCGTGAAAAACATATTATCAGCATCTAGTTTTTATTCTGCAATAGCACTTTGTCTATCTTCGGTACTTTCAAATGAGTAAATTTGGATAAACGTGAGTATGTTAATATAATATCATTTTATTTTTTTTGGGGTACTTTACAGATATTATCGTTATATAAGTTGGTGAAAACACTTTACTATTTTAAGTGGTGTACTCTCTCACTTTACTATTTTTAGCGGTATACTCCCTGGAATTCGAATTAAAATAATTGAATACTTTTACCATTACATCTCGCAACTTCAGCGAACTACATTTGGGCATGTTTAATAGCTAGGCCCACTCCCGCTTTAGTCGGGACAGTCCCGCTTTTTAGCGTCTTGTCTTTTTGAAGAAGGTGTTATCTACATAAAAGCATTATTGGGCGAATAAATGAATTCTCAATGCTTGAAAACGCCAGGCTATTTTATTATTCTTTCTTCCTTTTGCTGTACATAAAAAATCGAATCGAATTATTTGTATCTTAACGTCAATTCCTTTCTATTATTTGAACTGAACCCGATATTTAGACAGAGAATATGCGCATGAACTCTCGATGACAATATGGCCAATGAAGACAGCCGGGATGGTTTAAAAAGTAGCCCTATGTAGTAAAATCGGAAAATGTAAAGTAACAAAATCACAGCTAAGGGGTCGTTGTCTTTGGAGGCGTCCCGCTTTAAGGTCACAAAAATATGGTAACCCCCATTAATAGCAAAACAAAGACAACTACTTTAAAAACGGTATAATGACAAACATTGAATTTTCGCAATATTATCTATACCTATTGGAGCATATTCAGATTGTACCACGAAGTTGCGATTTAGGGTGCAGAATATTAGGCATTTGGTTAACATTTCATAATTCTGCCAATATGCTTTCCAGAAATACAGACCAGAAGTGCTGAAGGTTACACTCAAGAAGAAAAGCTACATTCTGTTACGCACAAAGAATAATTTTATATTCAGAATTGCTATAGTCTAGAACGATAGTGCTACGCCATCCATAATTCTGTTTCAAACACTTGTACCAGCATTTTTATAGAATTTCCGCCTGTACTAACGCTTGACGTATCTGAAAAATAGCTACCAAACAAGCTAGCGTTATATTCATGCGATACACATAAATTTGCGAAGCTGTTGTCATCTAAGGGATATAAGTGGGACACACACTTATATACAATAGATGATTTGTAAGCACCGGGTGAATTTTTGTCCCCAAAATCCAAATAACCACCTCTTCGGTATAAAAACGTCTGTATATGTAATACCTTTATTCGATATTGTGGAAATATAGCTTTGACAAAACAACAACTAAATTATCCTTACCGCGTCGGCGAAGTGGGCGCTGTACATGATTTGCGGATTCGCCATCGCAAATGGTAATTTTCGGGGACCAGGTATTGAATATAATCTTGAAATCAATATGACCCCTTTATTCTTCTATATTTTAATTCTTTACGTCCTTGACACAACGAAAACTGCAACCAAAATTACCAGCAGGTACAACTGAAGGAGTGGTGTCTATCTCATACAACGTGAACAATTCGCAAGTCATTAGTTTCAAACAAATTAAAATTCTCGTGATTGGTTCTAACATCCGCACATCATTAAATCCTATTTAACTACAAGCACTAAGTTTTAATTCACCTAAGATTAGGTAGTAAAAATGGACAAGCCCTCTTATTTGCCTGTTGGGATTTTAGTTTCTGGGTTTCTTTAACTTCATCATCCCAGTTTCCGTAACATGAATGATACGTTTGATCACTCCCGCTCAGTAGTCAAAAATAAAAACAATATTTGAAAAATTGGAACGGTGGACGATGTCAAATAATATCAACATCCGGCCATCTTCCAAATGTGAGTATGACTTTGAACATGTTAATAAATAAGTTGCTGTCACATTTCCAGTAATTTTGTGCACGTGATGAAAGTATGTTCTCTGAAAAATAGAAAAGAGAGAGAAACTATTTATCTTCGAGTAAACCTCATTATTAGATCACCTAGTCGATGACGTTGCGTAAAATTCTTTCGTTTCGAGGACATGTATCCTTTATCTCTTATTCTTTTATGAATGTGCGTCATCGTGCTAAATGCATGTCAAACAAACGTCATTTATCGCGCGAACAGATGTAAATTCTCACCCCGTTATAGAAAACTTTGCTATTTTGGGGCAATTAATTCATGGCAGACAAACAGAAACATTTCATTTTAGCATAAAAACCCTGTGTTTTCGGATATTAGTTTATGTTACTTTTGAGAAATCTGAAGAAACAATCTACAAGATGAAATATCTTCTAATCGCACTCTTCGTCGCAGCAGTGTCTGGTAAGAACTAATCTTTATACAATATTGTTAAGAACATGGGTCGACAACCACAATTAACGATGTCAGAATTTGTAAACCCCGTTTACAGTCTATTGCTTATAAATTATAGGTTGCAATCATTCCTGGCGGGTAACACGGCGTGGTCTTTGAAGTCGTATTAATTCTTATACGCGCATTAATGTTTTACTGCATGTAAAAATACCAATACGCGCTAAAAGTTCAAATATAGGTGGCTCTTAAAAAGTGCACGAGTAAAATATTCAGAATGCAATCTAAGAACAGTTTGTGGAACATATTCATCGCATTTCAACTTAAAGTTTAAATATATTTTAGCTCGTCCACATGATCGTGTAATCGGTGGATCGAACGCACCAAGCGAGGCGTATCCATGGCAGGTGACTGTAAAACGTGTTGTTATTTTGTGATGACTTTCGATATTTTAATTTAAATCACTAAATCTTGATGAATTATTGCCCTACATCATTTTTAATCCTATTTCGTAGCGATATACAGTATATTTAATTAATGATATTCTTTTGGCGTTATAGGATTCTGTTAACATGTCATAACTGCTTGTATATAAGCATTATGGATATATAAATATACAATTGAATCAATTTAAAACATTTGTTAAGGTATCACTTCGTCGGCCTATCGGAAATTCTCATTTTTGTGGAGGATCCCTCATCTCTATGGACTGGGTTATGACAGCTGCTCATTGCACGTAAGATAGCCCTACGTAATCATGGTGTAAATCATGATGAAATATTCGAAGCACTCGATGTTTATAGATTACATATTTTGTATTAACATTCGAAGTTCGTGAAGACTAGATAAATTAAAGTTTAACACTTTAAAACAATTAACGAGGCTTTTGTGATTAGATAATGTTTGTGAATATATGCGTAATAAATTATATAATCAATTATTTTATACTGTGGGTATGTAGATGCTTGTTATTTTGTCCCAAAATTTATTTCTTCACTTCACAAATTGAAGTAGCGAAACTTGTTCTTTCGAGAACCAAATATCACATAACACGATCTTGATAGTAGCACGATCAAGACCATTTTGAATTGGTTCCATTACATTTGAACCCACGTACATTTGAACCCATGGCAATTGTACCCGTATGCTATTGCACCTATGGAATTTTTTTGTTTTTCGGATTGTTGAACCCACACTAACCCTAACCCATGGGTTTTAGCACCCGCATATAGATTGAACCCGCGGATATACACATGGGTTCAAATGTACGTGGGTTCAAATGTACGGTCACCTTTTGAATTATATTAGACATTTTGGTAGTCAGTTCTTAATTTTTACAGACTCAACAACGTTAATGTTGCAATCGGTAGCACAACTATTTCTAACCCCTTAGAAACAATTTCTGGAACATTCACAACCAGCCCCAACTACAACTCCAACACCATCAGCAATGACTTCGCCGTCATCAAACTGGCTTTCTCTGCCACACCTGGCCCAACTGTAAGTATGGGAAAACAAAATCATGAAAAAAAAATTTTTGTTTTTTGAAATCACACTTTAATTAGTGCATATATTCGTTCCAATTGATTATAGCATTCATTATATTTTTGAAGTTGAGGTTTAATACTTTCCCAAAGCGCTGAAAAATCTTTTCTTGTGTTGATCAATAATATCAAATAAATAAATGACAAACTCCTTTTTTGTTACATATAATTTAATATTTTGCCCGTTGATTGGGTGTTTATGCAGTGTAGGCGAATGTGAAATATAAATTCCAAATAGTGAATAAGTTAGTAAAATATACAATTTATTTTAAGGTTGCTGCGATTCAATTGGCCAGTACTGGACAAACTTTCTCTGGTACAGCCGTTACAAGCGGATGGGGATACATCAACGGCGGAAGCAGTAAGTATCATGAATGTAGGAATATGCCAAACTACACCGGGTATTGCGTCAAATTGAAGCTATTAAATTTATTGTTTTTATGATAAATGATTAACAACCAAATGGGCATGGTATACAAATACCGAAACTGATAAAATGTCGCATCATTTTTAAATTTCTTAAGAACGTAATCCATACCATCGGTACTATTTCTCGGATACACATTTCACAATCGTAGCAGGACTGACAATTTTTTATTGTAGATCCCAACACCATACCCAACGATTTGCAATATACCGAATTGCCTCTGGTGGACCAAGCTACCTGCAATAGCATGTGGACAGTCTTGCCTAACCAACAACGCATTGACGACTCAATGCAATGCGCTGGTGCAGATGGTGCATCTTCCTGCATGGTGAGAACATGAAAATCTTAACAAAATTCATAGTAATTTAATTTCTCCAAACGTATTTTTTACGAGCAAGCCCATTTTACTTCATTTAAAAACCAGAATTTGAGTGACAGTTGAAGTTGTTGCGTTTTTCAACAACATCTTCTCACGTAAAATAATTTGATCATATCTATGCTAATATTATAGTAGGTACATCAGTTGATGTGAATGTCTCATGCACAACGCTATTGTAAATGCGCAATAAATTCAAATCCGCTTTTGGTTTAAGTAGATTCGTAAATTAGTCGTTTTTGTTCGATTTTGTAACTGAAGGTTTTGGAGAATACGAATCTATCCTTCATTTTTTTTTCATATCAGGGTGATTCTGGTGGCCCTCTTGTCCAACAAGTCAACGGTGTATGGACCCTCATCGGTGCAGTATCCTGGGGAAGCAGCTCTTGCAGCACAGACCAACCAGGAGTTTACGCCAGAATTGCTTATGGCAGATCCTGGATCAACCAAGTCACTGGAATATAAGAGAAGAGAATTACTGTGCGACGTAGCAATAATTTAATCCACGATTTTTTCTCCGATTCATATCAATTACAATGATACAATTTAAAACGATGAAGATAAAACATATGAAGCATAGTTGGAGTGTGTTGTATCTCTCTATAGCAGGGTGGTCCAAGGTTGTCGGCCTCGCGGGCCACACTATTATTTTTGTATTGTTTGCGGGCCACAGTAATGCCAAGAATAGGTAAACGGTGCAATACAAAACAAACACTTTTATTGTTTAAACACATTGATCATTATTTATCAAGCTGAGAAACGCAAAAACCACCGAAAAACTCACTAAAACATGCAAAAATCGTGCTATATCTAGCGTAAGACTTCAAACTCTCCATAAGGCGAAAATGTCCTTTTAGATTGTCATCAACACAGCTTGCAGACATATTTAGCAAGCATTGTGGTATTTCCCCACCCATATACAGTCAAAAATCTATTTGAATTGGTCAGCTTTCTTTTCAAACTCATGTTTACAAAATGCGAGGTACAGAAGGGTAATTACTAAATTTTTACATTCAGGGATGGCGAACCGTGACCCACCGCGTTCTATTCGTGACCCGCGAATAAAATAAAAAAAATGCTAACATATCAGTAATGAAAATTGATAAAACCGGCCATAAATTAATCCAACAATAACTAAACTATTATAATGTACCTTCAGTTGGGCAGTCAGGGCTGCGATTGCTCGTATTCAAATTGTTAATTTTCGGGCCGGTATGGTAATTTTCAAAACCCCTAATCTTAGAGTTAGACGCGTGTCTACACCGCTGTGTACCGATATTCAGCTATTGGCTCTGACATCGTTTATGACATAACAATGCAATTGATCTGTTCATTTCTCGCAACTACTTGTCTCTTTCGGAAGTGCACCGCAGACTGCTTTAGGAGTTATATGAGAACTAGATGCTAATGTGCATTTTATTAGTTCGAGTGCCATAAAAAGTCCCTGATAGAAGTGCTGCATAAGTAAAGCCCAAAATTACACCAACACCAACAGAAGCTTATAAGATTTGTTCCAGAAGTTTCTTATAGATACAAACATCAATTGAATATCTGTGACCCACTCTCTTCTGTTCCGCGATAAAATTATAATCTTTGACCCATTCATTGAAAAAGGTTCGCCATCCCTGTGACATATAGGCAGCATTTTAGGTAATACTGTTTCGGCTGGTTGCAAGAAAACACCCGGCAGAAATTGAATATTGATGAACATTATATTGATCGGCCATTACATTAATATTTAGTTATCATTCATAACCAACCTAGACTAATAGGTTCCTCATTCGATTTAGGGTTTTATGGAACCCATTTTGTTAGCATATATTCCCGACAAAAAAAGGAAGCCAGTCTACAATTTAGACTAGTCAAGCAAACTATACAACTGCTCTAGTAGTCTCAGCTAGCCATAACACTAGTCAATTCAGTAACATTAGTGATGTAACAATATGGAAAAGATTTTTCTGGGTATTTTTATGACGAAACAACACCAAATGTGATTTTTCGTTTTCCCGAATATTGCGACGCTGGTCACATACAATGAAGCGGCGGGCCACTTGTGGCCCGTGGGCCTGGGTTCGGACCACCCTACTCTATAGTCTATACCAGAAGTGACCAACCTGCTTTTGACCGCGATTGACTAAAATCTTCAAAATAGCTTGCCATCGACTGATCGATAATAAGTTCATACACAAAAACCAATGAGTGCTGAATATGCAGATAATTAAACACAGGCGTACAAAAAAATCCACCGCTCCCAAAGAGCTCGGCTTTGTGGGAGCATTTTAATTTCGCATAATGCAAAAGTTGTTGTACGATCGTTTCTCAGGCAAGACGCAAATAGTCTGCAAGTTCATTTCTAAACCTTGGCAGCGGCGAAAATTCCATTTATTATGTAATAATATGATCTATCGGGCTCGCCCAGACTCAAATTGTGTATGTGTAGCCGCCTATATCGTCTTTGGAGCATGTACAGTACTGTATTCTCTTTTTGAAAACACACAACAGGCTGCAAGGAACTGGTTCAGGGCAATTTTTTGGGTATGTCATTAAGTTTACTTAAAAAACCAGACGCGATCGACTACTCGAAACGTGGCGTTCGACCGGTCGATTGACGTGTGGCCACCCTTGGTCTATCTATACATTGGCAATGTGGGTAAGTTTTGATGCCCTAACAATCCAACCTCGCCATATTAGCGCTATAACATACAACAAGTACCTCATATGAAATACAACTGAAGTACTACTCATAAAGAGTAGTTACTAGCGGCGGCGAGTTAATAGCTGGTACATAGAACGCATAAAGATTATTTTGAGGCAACGGTTGTAAAACACCACTCCACAAGAAACAATTTCCTCATTTGAGGCACATAAAAAGCGTTTAACGTTTGCATTCAAAAAATAGCTCAACTTTGGTGCGATGGAAATAATTTGGATTCAACACATGTGACAAACCACAGAGTGAAATTTAATTTTAGCTGTACATCGTGAGCCAAATCTTCCCAGGTCTATTTCGCATCCTACGCGAATGTCCTTAATTCCTTGTCAAGTACGTCCAATTCACTAAACTCTTCGGCAAAGAGCAAAAATACACAACCTATTCAGAGGCACTCAATCTCGACGAGAATTAATAAACGTTGCGATACAACACAAAGCGTAAACGCCAAGTGTTTGCGTTGAAAATATTTTGATGACTCTCACAAGGCGAACTATAAAATGATAAATCAAGTGACGTATTTTTTGCCGTATTAAAAGATAGATAATAAGCAGACGGGTTGCGTTTTGTGGCATTTTAGAGGTTCGAGCAACGTTATTGGGCAAGTAGTGCAGGGTGGAATAGAATACTCAACATATTTGGTAGTGTATTATGAACAGATTTGGAAGACACTTCAGAATTCAAGTTAGAAATTTACACCACTGAACTAGAGCATTTGCTTGTGATTCTACAGCAAGTTGTTGGTACCGAGCATGATGTTTTAAGTTTATATCAAATTACCCATCGTCATTCATGAACATGACAAACATGTCAATCGAATTTGATAGCTTTCTGAACGAGGCATGTCATATCAGCCATTTCCACGCAAATATAAAAGATTTGCAATAGCCCTTTTATAAGCAGCCACATGAAAATATATATAATATTATATTAGCCCCTTAGTACTGTGAAATGATTGAAGCGGAGGAAAAAAGTGACAAACTAAGTGACAACACCTTCTTGTTTTCGGTGGGTACTTGCGTTTTACCATTTGATATACAATACAATATTGTTGAACATCGGTATCTATTCTGTAGGCTTACTACTTTTTGAATACTTGATTTCGTCAAATTTTATTGTGTAACTATGTCTTTGGAATATATCAAATCAAATATGGGATATTCTATGAAAACAACCATTGGTGAACCAAGTAACAAAAACATATTATCTATGTTTACTCTTCGTGTCGCTGTTACAGCGTCTTTATCATTTCAATTAATAGGTTCCAACACAAGGCTCGAGCATACTCGAAGAATTCAACAATATGAGAACGGCTGGAGTGCTTGTAGACGTCGTAATAAGGGTTGACAGGAGAAAATTTCCTTGTCATAGAGTTGTCCTGGCAGCAAATAGTCAATACTTCAAGGTATCTTAGATATCTTATGATTGTAGGCTGTAAAGTAGGCCTACTTTACAAGAACGGCAATAAACAATTTTTGAATGGGTTGCGAAGTCGGATGTGCTATGCTTGTTTTTCTACCCAGTAAAAATTATACTCATACTATGCCATTTATGATGTTTATATGGATATTTTTACAAGTTGCGCTTTAAAATTAGTTTACAGTTTCATAGCCATCATTTTGATTCCATATACTGATAGCTAATTTTAGCCTATAGCCTACCATATCGCATCTATTTGCGGACTAATTATTGATTTCTGAAACTAAACTATAACTTGTGATATCGATTGGGTTTCTACAATGTCAACTACTTTTCCGTTTTCTATGCTTTTGCATCGGTGAATCTGTATGCATATAATGCAAGGCTGCTGTAACAAGAGTGAAGATAACTATCCTGAGTAATTCAATAAATAGTCTTACTGCACACTAACACAAATATATTTCTGTAACGTTTCGTCTGACCAAGGTCAAACTTCCTCAGACATACATATTTCAACTAAAGCAAGAATAGCAATTGCAAGCACCTTTATACAATGGGTGTCATGGCAACAAAACAATATCATAACAATGTGAGTTAACGAACCCATGCAAGTGGTGATTGAAAAATTAATTAACATCACTAAGTTTAAAAATTAAAAAACATGAAAGTTTCATGCACATTTATAAAATGGGTGTCATGGCAACATTTTTGTCCATGTGCATGGAACTTTCATGTTTTTTCATTTTCATTTTTAAACGTGTCATGGCACCCATTGTATAAAGGTGCTTGCAATTGCTATTCTTGCTTTAGTTGAAATATGTATGTCTGAGGAAGTTTGACGAAACGTTACAGAAATATACATATGTGTGTTAGTGTGCAGCAAGACTATTTATTGAACTACTCAGGATAAATTGTAACTTATCGAAAAACAAAATTGCCATTTATTTAGTTTTATGTTTTTTTCCTAATTTTGAAAACAAAACAAAAAACTGACTAGCAGCATAAGAAACGAAGAAAACGAGCCCAACCACACTTAGTATCCTTCCGAATGAAAAAAGTGTCTGAGCGTTTGCACGAGTTTGAATTGTTACATCGTCGTTAATTATTGCAGATTTTCCATTGGCGATAATCAGTAAGACATCTATTGCGCGATCGATGTAATATTCCAGTCATAATAGACTAGAACTGAAAATGTCCTGGTATTACTTTGCAGGCCATGTTTTCATATGGTTTGAAAGAATCTCGCGAAAAGATTGTTTCAATTCATGGAGTTTCTTCTGATACCATGGGGTTGATAATCGAATATGCTTACACAGGTGATATATCAATATTTTCAATCCTGACAATCTAAGTGGTATATGGCTATGTTATTATCAAATTATTTGTTACCTGTAATCTACGAAATGAAAATTCATTAAATATTTTTCACGCTTCAACTACGATCTGTTTGATTTTGTTAACACTTGAACTTCTGCTGGATATAATTGCATCCCAATGTTCTAATTCACTTTCCGGGCATTAAGACGGACTTGCATCCGTTGCGCAAAATTGTCAATCACTAACACGTACTCCCCAATGAATTTTTTTTTTGATTTGTTGCTACAATTTCAGTTTTGAGTTCACCGATTGTTCGAGGAATGTTATTATACACATTGTCCTTCAAATACTTTTAAAGATAACAATCTGAGGTGTTCAAATACACCGCGTGGTTTTCGTCTTTAATCCAGTACTGACTAGTTAATCAATGTTGGGCAATGGTTACCCATGCTGCGCACTTTATTGAGTATAACATTCTTTGTAAAATTTTCTTCGGAGGTGAGTGGGTGATTGACAAATTTGCGCGACGGTTACAAGCCTGTCTCCATGAACAGGGGGCCATTTCAAACATATTCTAGACAGAACAGAGCTTTTGTGCAAAACGTCCTAGATTCTTGAAATCCGGGGTGCAATCGTACACAAACATAAGTATAAGTGTTGACAAAATCAAACAATTGTTATACTATGGTATGCCATGTTGTTAAGTGTTATACTCCATTTTCACGGAAGTAATTGACAAATTTATGGGTTCCGTTTTGTTTCGGATCACCGTTTATTTCTATATTACTGGTAGTAAAGTTACCTACAATCTTTAATAGGGGCAGCAGAAACTAATCTAACGAATCATCAAGTTCTTTTACTGCAATTTTGTACGTACATTGTCGATACCGGTTATTCAAAAACTTTAGTAAGGGGATAATAATATAAAATTTAGAGAAAGGTTCGACTACACCGTCATTCTAATTCCATGAATTTTTCTTTTCAGGAAGATGTGTATTTTTAAAGTGTAACGCTGCAGAAATCATGATGGCTGCTGATTTGTTTCAATTTTTAACATTGAAGGATGCCGCTGTGAAATATTTGCACTCAACAGTTGATATTAAAAATTGTCTTTCGGTACATACACTTTTATTTGTAATTTAGACTTAATATATTTTTACAGCTCATAAAACAAGATTACTATTTGACGTACTGATTGCCCGTTAATGCCATATGTCTGCAATTAGTTAACGATTATATACCAGTTATTTCACTTTTTCCAGATTCGAAAACTTGCTGAGAATCATTCCTGTGAAAATTTACTTCAGAAAGCAGTTCAATTTACACGAGAGCATTTTAAGGAAATCGTTCTGCAGGTAAGAACTAAGAAGATATAGAGACTTGACAGGTGTTAAATACGTTGGTAATTAGAAAAGCAGTGCAAAAAAACTCTTGTAATGCTTTTTATTGAAATGCGAATATCGACGTCCTTAAGGAACAAACTGCTTTAAAAGAAATCTCATATGCTGAAACGTAAATTCTTATTTTTGGACTTTTAGTGTGTAAAATGTATAAAGATCTTGCTTGAATCTTCAAATAAATATTTTTTATGTTTCAAACACCAAGTCGATAAAACTTATACAGAGTTCATTTATTTCAACGAACGGACCAAAATCACATATCGCAAAGTCACATCAAAAATTTAATTTACTAAATTTGAAATTCTATACTTACTTGTATCCCAAGAGTTTTGGCTTGTGTTTAGAGCGATCTTTATATGAACGTTATGATTCTACAAAATCAACGATCAGATAAAGCGTTTTTCCTACAGGATGAATATTTAGATCTCACTATAAATGATTTAATATCTTATCTGACTGATGACGAACTATCTGTCAATAAAGAAGACGTTGTGTTTGAAGCAGCAATGAAGTGGATCGAAGAAAAAGAAGAAGGACAAAACTATTTACCCCGCGTTCTGAGTACTTATTACTTTCGACTTTCATTACATCTAGATACTCACCTGAAAACGTTGAAGTTTTACAAAAAATGATTAATGCTGGTACCAGTAATACGCTTATTTCAATGTCTGCAACGCATTTTTGCACTCATTACTAATAATATAAATATATATACTGATTATTTATTACTGTTTTATAAATGTGTTTGTTTCTTCCCTGCTTGCAGAGGCTGTTCGATTGCCTTTTGTTACACCGGATTTTTTGAGATATCAAGTTGCTGAAAATTCTCTAATAAAGAACAGTGACAATTGCATAAAGCAGGTAGGTCTATATATATTAAATATTCAATGCGTGTTTTCTTCAGATATATTTTACTTTGAGCACTAAGCAGTATATGTCAGCGGTAAAGCAGAGCATTTAATAAAATTCAATTGCGTGTTAGTTCGTATGTAATATCTTAAGAACTTTGGTGTTGATAATTGTTTGTACGAATCAACAACGCAAATACTCAGAGATTGATGTTTAAATCATTTTGAGCAAGATAAAAATGGTTGCTCACAACGTATCGATTCACCAAATTGTTAATAGTAGGCTACGCCAGGAATGTAGCTATTTATAAAATATTGAATCCAATCAATCATAAATATAATAAATTTGAAAATTCGGATCAAACATTTTTGCCGATCTTTGACGTGGTATATGGTCATTTGAAATAGGACATCTTATTTTGATTTCCTCTCTGTATATTCAATAAAGATTCTAGTTCAAATTTGGAAAACAAAATCTGTTTTACGTCTTGTGGTTATCAAATACTGTTTGAACATTGCTGTCAAGGTTATTTATCCTGGTAGTCGTAACCATGACGAGATATCCGTGGTTAAATTAAGTCAAATATTTATTTAAAATAAATAAAGCATAGTATATATAGCAGCTATGTGGGATAGCTTTGAGATTGTATATGAACCGATGAAAGTGACAATAGTTCAACAAATCAATATCGCCTTTTTGGTTTTAAGCTGTGAGATGATATTTGTGCTTCGCAGCTTGTATATTGTTTTAGTGGATTTTAAACAATAAGATATAACTTTTATGTCACTGCAACACCCAGCAAACTGATACAACTCCGGCAAAGTAACATTGTCCACATGTTTTCTGATTTCAGGTTGAGGAAGCAAGAAAGTTTCAGGTCTCAGGGCAATTTCGAGAAGGTTGTGACGGATTACAAAGGCGACCTAGAAAGTCTACTAGTAAAGAGGTAAACGATTTGTTTCTATGGTTTACTTAGTAATTGCTTTTTACAAAAGAGGTTTTTATACACCTTCTCCTATTTAGTGGTATGTGCTAAATCATATTGATGACAAGATTAAATCTATTACCTAAACATATCCAGTATCATATACGTATAACGTATAAGATTGTTTCACAAGGTATTGATTGTGTTCGGCGGCGAGAGCAGAATTGGTAATTTTCACGAATGTGTACAAGACGTCAGCTACTACGATCCAACGACGAGAAAATGGGCGACAATGGATTTAGTACCGGGAACTTTACATACTCAGGCATTTGGCGCAGTATCGTTAGGCTATGATATTTATATTACGGGTGAGTTGAAGTATAACTTCAAATATTTAATGGTCATCGTTTTCTCGATATCGTAAATTCCAGAAAAATAAAGCTACCTGGACTGATAAGACCATCCTTATCTAAGAAATACACGAAATTGTTGATGCACGTACTAGATTCAAACAATTTCAAATAAGATGCGCATGTTTCTCATTATTTCATTTCAATTGGTGATATAACAATTATTGCAGTTGTGCATGACTCGATGAGTGGGTGATCACATATAATAATAACGAAAATGAACTTTTTGTCTTCATTAATTACAATAATGATGTAATATTGGTATAATAAAACAGGTCAAAGTACAGTTGCTATACAGTATGATGTACACTGTGATGTGTTTTAAATTGTGTTTTGTTTTTCTGTATCAAGGTGGAACGTTGGACAACAAGGCCGTTAACGATGTCAGGATATTTTATACGTATCTTAACAAATGGTGCAACGTTGCTCCTATGCTACAAGCAAGGTATCATCATTCAGCTGTTGTTGTCAATGAGCAAGTATACGCAGTAGGTGAGAGAAATTTTAAAATGATTAAAATATTATAGTATGGTGGAAAAAGCTTTTGTCACAAAAAAAGATTATTTTGATGTTATTCCCGATGACAGTGAGTGCATCCTCGAATTCGATGCTTGGGTAGAACGGTGAACAATTGTACATATTAGAACCCATTTGCAAACAATGAGTTTGTTGGCAAGGCGATAAGTTTTGCTTTTTCAAAAAATAATATTTGTACAATATGATATTCTAGGAGGCAGCGACGGAACACACTGTCTCGATCACGTCGAGCGTTATATTTTGTCAGAGAACAAATGGGTGGCAACAGAACCCCTCGTCCATGCGGTTAAATGTCCGGCTGTGGCAGCTTACGATAACAAGCTGTATGTATTCGGAGGATTTACAGACGGATATATCATTTGTCAATCTATTCAAGTAATAAATAACACAAATATCACTTCAGACGGATTTTTTTTATAGTTTGTTGGTGGAATATGATGTTACCGTCCCAACACGTTTTAAATTGGTATTAATTTTACCAAAATTGTCAATGATTTGAATGTAATGTTACAGAATGATCATATTTTCGTAGAAGTTAAATATTGTTTTGTCGGTGTTTAAAATGCAGTTCATTGGATATATATTTATAGCATAGGCGCTTTAAAAAAGAAAATCTTCATATTATCATTTCGTATTAACGCATCAGGTATGTGCATTATATTATGACGGCTTTTGTTGCATGCGCAATTATCTATATAAAAATGATGATGCAGAATGATATTCTTACTTTTATGTTCAAGTTTTGTCGGCTTCTCATACATTTGAAATTTACAATCTTTCGATAAGCATGGAAGTCTACCGCTATATTTTTCAGATATACAATCCGGCCACATGTTGTTGGATAGCAATATCATGCCCAAGTATTGACTACACTTGTGCTCATGCAATTCATCTTAATCATAAAATTTATTTGTTGGGTGGATGTTCTAAAATTGTGAAAGTTTACGACCCAGAGAATGACTCAGTGATGCAAATCACTCACATGGAGACGGTTAGTTTAACTTTCATTCCAGTATTTTAGCAAAACCACACACGGGATATTACTTTTATTCTGACATGCAGATGTTTCAGGTGATTTTTTTGTATTAAGAGTATAAGCCCACAAAACAAAAACTCTTATATTAATTGTCATGGAAAGATTGTTTAAATGACTAAGGTTTCTATGTCCATGAATAGCCTGATTGGGCTTCAAACTTGTGAAGGCACGTGATATCCAAACCAGATACTAGATATTTGTACGCACTGGTGCAAGTCCACTCTATGTGTAGGGCATTATAATTATTATATATATAATTCTAGTTTCTATCGTAATAAATAAATCACCAAGATTTTTCAAATGCAATACATTGCTATTGTTAGTAGATGGCAAACTACTAAAGATACTTGAGAATAGCGCAGTGTGAACGAATCTTCGGTGCGGCAGGTATAATGTCCTAACACCAGAAGAAGTTGTTTCTAATGGACACAAAGGCATATCCGAACTCGAGGCATATCCGAAGAGTCGGGATGGAGTAGTCTAAAAAAACACGTCTCAATAAAACCCCAAAAACTTGGCTCAGAAAATCTCAATCTTGGTTTTTGGAAACGCAAATCTATCATTTCATGAATGCTCAGTTTTGTGCCGACTATAGATATGATTATCCAGAAAAACGAAAAATTTTGAGCTAACCAGAACCTGAATTCTTCTTTACAAAAATTTCATGTTATCATTCAAATATCAGAGTGACTCGCGTTGTTACGTTAAATTCGTCGCAATAAATTTTCGTATTGGAACTTTTCAGTTCTACTGTTTTACAAATGACTTGCGATTGTAGCTCCGGTGAGTTAACACTTCCCATCGTAATTTCCTACGTCGAACAAGCGCTTTCCCCGAAATAGGAAGTTTTTAAGTAAACTCACGGAAAACGATATTATATTTCAGAAACGAGACAATTGTCGAGCGACAGTCGTTGGTGGAAAAATATACGTCACTGGAGGTGTCAGTGAATCCAGTGGATCATCATTGGATAGTGTGGAATGCTACTGTCCCGCACTGGACAAGTGGGAAAGCGTTGCACCAATGCCGCGCAGACTGTATAGACATGGAAGCGTAAGCATTCGAATACCCGTGTATAGGAAAGAAAATCCAAACCGCACAATCAACGATGCCACGGTAATAAACACGAGATTATTGCAACAACCACCGGATTGAACGTGTTATTGTCAACACTGATAAAGTTTAATAACCTGCATATCCAATCACATGAATATATATAATATATCTTGCAATTACAGTGATAAATCGATAGTTTATTTTGAAGACTTCATAATACAGACAAATGGAGAACTCTGCAGAGCGAGAAAAACCTTTAAAAAAAGTCAAAAACATGAAAAATATCATGTGCCCGCTCACCAGCACATACACGAAAAATATTACACCAAGCACAAATGTAGTTAAAGGAGGCTTGGGCCAGAAATAAATGAAAAATATACGCGAATGTAATTTTCAGGCTGTCATACTTTTAAAACATTTACCTGAAAATGATCAATACAATCTGATAGCATCAGTAAATTTGAATATGTCTAGAACGAATGGAGATGTAAAATTAATTTTCCAATCATTATGTAACCTAGTATACTGATATAGCAATATTGTATTGTTATTTATTAAAGTAATGTTCATTAACTCTCAGTGATATACCGAAGTTATTTAGCATCAAATGTAAATCTTGTTTAACCGATAATATTATTTCGAATTCTCCAAACAAATATACAATATGATCTCAGTTTCAGGTGTTACGTATATATGAGAGTTCCGCTGGGAAACAAAGTGCAGCGGTGCATTACTAGTAACCAGAGCTAATAATGTTTAACCGATTTTAGATGGTTAACGGTTGCGATTTATTTTGACCGGTAGGCTAACTGACATGTCTGGTACAAACACCTTATATATACTGTAGTTTCTCCAAAAATGATTAGTTCTTTGCAAATTTATCTCCCGTGGCGTTTAATTCAAAAGAATATCTCTACCTGTATTGATAAGCACTGAAAATGTAAAAAATTATTGAAGCACTGGTATTACTAAATATGAAAATTTGACAATGACAAGCTCCTAATCAGCTTCCGGTCAGAATCTATTGTTCACGATTTGGTGGCACGATCGTTTATCCATTGTCATTCAACAAGAGCGCATTCTGTAACAGGAATATATTAACATATCGACATTTTCGTAAAGCAGTGACGAACGCTTCCAATATTTCCAGTTGTGTTGAATACAATCGGATAGTACACTTTTCTTTATGATATCTCATAGTCATAGCACAATTTGCACACCACCACCAAACACTGAAAGTTTTGTCACATAAATGACATTGAATAACCGAATCGGTTCCACTATAATACTTAATACCATATATATGTCGGAAGTACGCTGCAGTAGAACGACAATGAAACTATCTCGATTTTTACAGAGTTTCGAGCAATACCAGGATCAGATCACGCAAAATAGCTTTTAAACCATTGGGACGTTGCTTTCTTAAATGATAACCTACTACTTCAAGCGTAACGCTGCAGTTTGCCAGTTAATGGTTATTACAGTATTTCCCCTGAAAGTCCCAACCCTACTAATACACTTTTATAGCCCCAAGAAAAGTCGCGGAAACGGATACGATTCCTTCATACCACCGCAGCCGGTTCGCATCGGTTATATAGAACCGTCTCACGGAATTTTATGAGATCAATGAACCAGTTAGCATCACTGGTTATTTTCAATGTTCTGTTTGTAACAGAACCGGCTGAAAAATACGACTTTTGTGATGGAACCGGCTGACAAAATACGACTTTTGTGATGGAACCGACTGACAAAAAATTTGGATCCCACCACTGTATATATATATATATATGACAGTTGTTTCGGCAATCATTGACGTTTGGTCTTTTGCTTTTCTAGGCTTTCGGGTCTCAATCTGTGCTCAACAAAACAATCAACAAAATGAGAATATAGCTAGTATATACACGAACGCCACAATTAATAGAAGTGTTAAATTAAATACGAGTTTTGATCATTTTCACATTCCGCTGTTTTGTTAGATTTTGTTATTTATTGATACTTGATAAACCTTTTGCGCTCCAACAGCACGGGATGCTACTCAGGTTGGGAGGTATGTTTTTAATCTTAGACAGGCCTATCATTTATATACATGAAACAAAACACCAGAACAATGCCAATTCGACGAACCTTGGTTCCCGTACCGAGGCGTAGTAATATCCAACTCATTGGAAAACATGTAGCCTACTTTCAATATTTATTACATAACAATGCAGGAGTCCTCCCACTCTTTCTGAACTAGTGAAGTTTAATAAGAAAAAGAATATTTATGGTTCTTATATTTCACAAACGAAACAGATTGGCTAAACCGGGACCTATGGTAAGCCAAATCCTACACAACGAGGTAGATAGGCGGTTGGCGCTTTGACATTGCATCGTCGACTAACATGCGCGACATCCCGCGTGGGATATTTCACATAACTGCTGTTCGGTTAAGGCTTACCCCACCATCTTGTCCTAGCAATTGAAATAATAAAACTTGTTAACAAGATTTTTCGCCCCACGAACTTTTTCGGCCGCAAGACGGTTCGAGTTACGATTTTCAGTTGTCTTGTGGTGGGATTAGGGCTCCCAGAGACTTTCCATTCACATGCGATAAATATGAAAATTCTATGGCCTTCAAATGAAATACCTGGACAATTCCCACATTTACTGACTGTACAGGTTTTATACACCACTATGAAACACCAGGTATACAAAAAATCATTCGTTATGACAGTAGCTTCGAACTTGTAGATGAAGGCTCAAAATGAGAAGCAACTTGAAATCATCATCTGACCTTATCCCTTAAAAACCATCAAATTCAACGCAATACATTCAGAAAATTTAGTTCACATTTTATATGTATTTGGTGATACTGAGGTAGTGGAATCAATATATTTCTATGATTATTTGAATTTAGTAATGGTGAATAGGTAGAAAGCAATAAGGGTACCGATAGAACAATCAAAAGCTTTGAATGAATTGTTCACATCTATGTTACACCATCATAACAGCAGAAAAGATGTACAATACGAGACTAGAGGTAATTGAAGTCAATACTGTAACAGAAACAACAAGCTCGAAGTTAAAGTAAATTACGGGATATGAATTACATAAATATTTGCCTGGTTCAACGAGTATTGCGATGAATAATTCCCTTTTTGTGTCATATACCTCAAAATTAATCATATCAATAAAACCAAAGTACATGAAATATATTATTCTTATACCTTTGATTTTAAAATTCCCGCTTATTTCTGATATTCAACTAAAGGTTTACTCGTGTAGGTGACCACAGCGTCACTTCATGTCAACGCGTCACTTTATGTATCGCATCTCTTTCCACTAAGATGGAGGAATCAAATGTTTCAATTTTTCAGAAACATTGTTATAATATCTCAGTTTTATAATATATTCTTTTGCATCAACTAACTTATTTGAGTTGAAGGCGATTGAAATTTCATTAATCAATTCATTGTACGTTTCAACAACTTCATCCTGTATCTTTCTCAAATTCTCTTCATTTTCTGATGAGGAAATCTAGTTGGTAGAGAATTAAAGTTAAGGTATCATATAATAAATAAGCTGCTTTAGTTCTGCTTTTAGTCAATAGTAAGGGCAGTGATTTTCAACCTTTCTGGTGAAGCGGAACCCCTATAATACTTCCCAATCGCTCTTAATTGTTTTTCATTTTTTGAATGGCTCAAACTTAAAATACATACAAAAGCAAAACTAATACTGACAAAACAAAATGATCTTTAAGTTTAGCAAGTTTAAATATAGTGGCAAACCTTATATTAAAACAATATAGGTATAATTATACGAGACTCTCGTATTTGTATAGAAACTTGTGGAACCCCTGGACTGTACCGGTAGAACCCTAGGCACAGGTTCTCAAAGCCCCAGGGCTGCATGAAAGAATCCTAAAGAACTCCGCGAGCATTTCATTTACTTATTCAAATACTGACTATTTTTTAAACACAAAGCAGTCATCAAATAAAGTGATTTTAGTTTATTCAGGGACATTTATCGGTAAATAACAATGTTTTTATTTTCATAAATTTATTGTGGGGCTGTGTAAATAATAGTCAGCCTCCTAACACCAAAAGTTTGAGAACTCCTTTCCTAGGGTGCTATGGTGAAACAGTTGAAAACCACTGATCTGGAGCCTAAAGAAATGAAAATCAGATGTCCTTGTTGTAAATGAAGGGCGATAATAACCAGGCAGCACTCATATAAAATATGCTGCTTATAACTGCTGATTCGTGCTGGTTCCACTTAGTAGCCGCAGTGCAATTAGATAAATCCATTGTGTTAAAATCTTCTCACCTGTTCATTTAGTTCCATGATTTCCATCAAAAATTCAGGATTGCTAAGTTGAGTTTCTTCATCAATAGTAATGCCTGAACAAATGAATAAAAAACAAGAAATAAATCCAGAGGCTCATCTACAGCACATCACAAAACATTTGATATCTCCGCAAACAGGAGGTTCATACAAAATAGGCCACTGTGAGTTTTGGACAAGTTATGCGAATGGATACTAACTTGATCAAAAATATCCTGAAACATGTCAATAAACTGTCAAATCGTAGTCAATAATGGGTTAAATTTCACAAGTTTTATAATAAATCAGTGGGTCCAACCACTTGAAACATCCAACATTTTTCTAAAGGTACAACAAAGGTGTGCTAAATTAGTGAGCTTATTTTGACTCCACAATAGGTGTTACATGACTGCGAAAGAAAAAATCAAATCAAATCATGCACTTCCTCACACAAGTCCAAAACTGTATTAATTTAAAATAACTCTAATAACATTAACCAATTTGTCATGTCGTAACAGGTATCACTGGTTAATTAGGACTATTGCACAGGTGCACCATAAAATAGGCTACTGTATAGAAATTGTCTATTGCTAATAAAAAAATATATTTTAGGCAGTGTGTATTTGTATATAGCAGTGAAGTACAGTAATTGCTTCTGAAGTTTTTTTATTCCAATTTTCCTTATTTTAGTTCAATTACGTGTTCTGGCGGCGACTAGCCAAGTGACTCCTGTAGTATTTGTACCTGAAATTATGGCTCAACCCTAACCTGGTACACATACTATGTTCCAATGTTCGCCATCTTGGTACGCATACTTCATGAGTGCCGCAGTGGGTAATATTTATGAGAAGTTGTATGAAAAAAATAACGTAATTTGAATCAGGCAAGAAAACATTTTCTTTCATTTCTTCTGCATTATGAATGAATTTAAAAAAATGTCGATAAGATCAGGTGGAGCCAAAATGAAATAAATTACTCATCTGAAAACGACACACAAATAATCAGAGGTTACTAAATAAAGCTGTGATAAAAGTAATTAGTTAAAGAAGAAGCCATATATCCTGGGTGCCAATGGGCTTGGAATTTTCACATGCGCTCTGAGAAAAAGATTTATTTCAATGATAAGCATGTGGACATTAGGTTGACGTCTCCTTACTTGCAAAACACTTTCAACTGTCACAATAACAGTGTTTAATTTATGCTCTTGCTTTATATTCTCTTTCCTTACCTCTCTGTTTAAGCATATAAACTCCTCTCGATAACGGGTCCAGCAGAGTTTTATATGCAACATTTAAAAGTGAAGATATTTGAGCGGAGAGATCTTTCTCCCTCGCACCTTGTAATGAATATTTGTCTGGATGAAAAACACGCTAAAACACAAACATTTTGGCAAATTGACATAAAAAATACTTGTTATATTTGCATGATCTCGGAAACCAGTGGAAAATCTAGATATGGACACATCAGTAAACATGCCGATACAAAAAATCATGAAACATAATACAATAATAGGCAACAAATACAGCCACTAGCAACCACTACGTCATAATGAAATTGAAATCTGTTCATATCAGACCAAAAACAGGAGGCAAAATATCCATTGCAGATTCAGAACTCTGAAAATGGTAAACATAAAACTTATGGCTGCTTACTTGCATGTCTTTAAAATCTTTCTGAAGTTTCAAAGTTGAAATATCAAATTTTTCATCCATGTTGAATATTTCAAAAAATGTAAGAAATGTAGGTGGGAGAATAATTTTACAATGATTGCAAATAAATTTAAATCTTGAAGTTATTGGTCTCCTGAAACAAAATAATTTAATTCAATATTAAATTTTGAATAGACTCAATTAGGCCCTAAATCAAACTAAAATTATTTATACCAACAAATTACTTGAATTAACCTTTATTATGTCAATGTCAAAGTTTCTTCGCCAGAATGGCTGCTCAATGAATTATCTTCAAGTTTGGTTTTACCCTTTACAGTAGGCTAACATTCAATACAGCACCATATACAGATATAGCATGTGGCATTCAGGACCTGAGATGTTCAGGAGGGGTTAATAACTGGTTTCTGTGCATATATTTCTGTGATTGATTCATATGAGTGTTTATAGTATAGGCCTACATAGTCCAGCAGCTAGAAAAAATTTAAAAGTATTCGATGCTGAAATACGAAGTGAAAAATTGAAACTGTTACACTTACCCGCATTTCCAACATATTACTTCGTTTTCGTCAAAACTTCCATCAGATGAAGTGGAGAATCTATGGGAACCTCTGAATGAATATTGTCTTTCAAGAAGAGTAATATAGCTTTTTCTACCATTTCTCAAGATGAATGTTTTGTTACGTGTCGAAAACAAGATATTCACTGAAAAACAGGCACATTTGAAACACTTTTTCAGAAAGCAGTCTAATAAATTGTACTCATACCCACGCTTCTCCCAGGACCAAATAGCAGTTTGCATCCTCGATTGATTGTTTCAACATTCACTCCACCAACCATTCCGATAAGGGTGAACAGTCTTGTAATTCGTGGATTCATTGCTGTGAAGTGGACAACTACTAACCAGGTGTTTAGACACCTTGCTGCAGCTACAGGCGTAACTGTCACGGGATAAAATTTGACCGCGGAAATTTATCATGGGCTCCGTAATATTATTGCAGTATGGACCTTTCCCCGAGCATCGACTTCCTTGTTTACTTCGTGACATTGGCCAATCAGCAAATTGCAAAAAGTGATGTAACAATGCTCCTTTTCGCATCCGCTCAGACACTTTTCTCACTCAGACAGATTTTTAAGCGTGGTCGTAAACATTATCTCGTTTTCGCATTTTTGAACTCTATTCGTTAGTTTTCAGTTGTGTTTTGTAAAATTAAATGTAAATCAAATAATTTAATGGTCACCCTGTCTTCCTGGTGGTTTTAATTTAATTGCAGTAATAAAAATTAGTGTAGAAATAGCTGTGATAGACTAGGCTAAAATTCTTTAACGGTACTTTTAAAAAACAGATTGTTGTATGCCATGAATCATAATGATAGTTTGAAACATATACCTCATTTCACAGGCGCCAACTCGCAAAAGCACTCTTAAAATAGCCCCGAAAAATTTTGCAATGGTAAAGTATAGGAAGAATTTTTCGGGGGTCAAAGGTCGGGGAAAGGTCCATTATTGTGTCATTCTTGAAATCCATACATAACCTTTGACCTGGTGCGATTTGATGCAAAAAGAGGTGACGACTGCGATTTCCTGCTCTGGACAGAGACAATGCAAAAAATCTATGCTCTGAACGCCGACGCGATTAGGTCTGACTTGCAATGTTTCTTATGATTACTGAGACGTCACGGTGTTTCGTAGCGGGAACTAAAAGATACTATTTGAAAAAACAAAATGTATGGACCTTTCCCCGACCTTTGACCCCCGAAAAATTCTTCCCATACTTTACCATTGCAAAATTTTCGGGCTATTCTAAGAGTGCTTTTGCGAGTTTGCGCTTGTAAAATGGGGTATGTGTTTCAAACCATCATTATGATTCATCGCATACAACAATCTGTGTTTTAAAAGTAACGTAGAGAATTTTAGCCTAGTCTATCACAGCTATTTCTACACTGATTTTTTATTACTGCAATTAAATTAAAACTCCTGGAAAGACAGAGTGATCATTGAATTATCTGATTTATATTTAAGTTTCCTAAACACAACTGAAAACTAACAAATAGAGTTCAAAAACGCGAAAACGAGGTAATGTTTACGACCACGCTTAAAAATCTGTCTGAGTGAGAAAAGTGTCTGAGCGGATGCAAAAAGGGAGCATTGTTACGTCACTTTTTTGCACCTTGCTGATTGGCCAATGTCACGAAGTAAACAAGGTAGTCGATGCTCGGGGAAAAGTCCATTCTGAGCGGTATGTTAGTCGTTGATTCTGAGGCATTATGTCATTTGAGTAAAATAACGTGTCGAAAATAGAAGGGATGGTTGCTTATGAATACAATACAGCAGGCCGATGGTAGCAGCTCAAAAAGTATGCCAAAGTGAAGGAAAGTCATCCTATTTACTTCTGCAAAAGTTATAAGGTAAAATTGGTTATAGCTGTGATCATTGATAATGGAAGACTTATGTTGTAAAAGTATATCACATTTTTTCAGATGTTCACGATTTGAATACCGATAATTACAGCAGAACCCCTCCATGCTCGAGCTCATACAACAGTCATCATAGTTGCTGTATAATTAAAAGGAGGGAAGGATTTACATATTTATCCCGAGGAGAGAAAAGCCGATAAAACGGCTCAATCATATGGCGAACCACGGCATGTACATGGATCATTTGGTTGAAATACAAACCACCGTTCTGTAGATAAATTGTATCTGAATGATGGGAACTTGGCCACCCCTGGTGTGAAGATAGACATTTTGCAAGTCATCCATTTTCCATGGTTGATTTGGGACTGGAAGGCAGATTAAAAATGCTACTCCTCAAAATGTACACTTCCACGTCGCCTAATATTAAGCATTCACAGCAATGACCTGAAGATTCAAATGGAGTCTGGACGCTATGACTATATGATTGTGAATGTAACTGCATGTCGTCTTGCGCATAGATTTTGTCCACCTGACCTGGATGCATATTCCCATCACCCACTTGTAGTAGTAGTATATATTTACGGTAGTACTCATTACATAGTAATTGCAAAAAATATAAAAGAAGATTGATAATACTTTTTAATATATTAATAAGCTATATTTACTTGTGCTAAATAGTAGAAATGATCATACACAATAATACTACAAGTTAATTTTTCCTCGATCTCATAGTCACGCTCAAGTCAATTGAGCAGATCAGTTTTTCAAAAAAATATACCAACATAAATATTTACAATCTGTGGGTGAGATATAATTTGTTAAAAATATGCATAAATACAAGAACACAATACAGTAATAGTAGTTTTTCCTCTGTTACTAATTATATTTTGGCTGTCTTCAAGGTTCCAGGCAAGAGTAGATAATTGAAAGGTTGCTAGCTAATAATTCAGTATTTCCTAGAGGTTTTACTGGATTGGTTACGGTTCATTCATTTACAACATTTGTAAGAGCTTCTTTGACATCACAAACTTCTTGTTCAAACAATTCTATTAGAAACACGGCAGGGAAATGCTAGTACAGAAGTCTGTAATTGTCAACTTGATATACCTTACAGTAGTCTGATCAAACAAACCCCTTTACTGTCCCAGTATGTACCCCGCAGAAGTTTTTTAAGATATTCTTCAGTAATTGGCTTGGTATTTCAATCAGTGTACAACAACTGTGGTGATTAGGTGGTAAGAGCTCAAGCATGAAAGTCTTCTCCAGCTGCAAGTGTTCAAATTGTGAATATCTGTAAACAGAAAGTGATATACCTACTCTGTAATTGTTTGTGAGCACAGTTTTTATCTAGCATAACGGAAGTCTGGTAGTGTTTTTGGGCCTACTTGTAAACAATGAAGAAAACTCATCGAATCTTACCTTATAACTGTATAACTTAAAAAACGAATACTCTTGTTGTATCATCCTTTATGAGCTACATGTATCAATATTATACAAGTTATTGATCTCATGGCATCTCAGACTGGATTCAGTAGCAAGTGCACGCCCGAGAGCGCTAGCGCTCCGCATAAATGCACGCGAGCGAATTCAGTTTTGCACGCCGAAAATTTGCAATTACTCACCAATGAAAATCGATTTAAAGGGTTTTTAAATCAATAATCCAGTAATATAAAGATGCAAACAAATTGCAGCTCCATAATTATTGACTACATACTAGCTTGCAAGCTTGATTGAAAACAGCGACCCAAAAAAGACCATATTTCATAATTGCTTGGCGGTATTGGTATGGCGCATCGTGTTCAATGATATCCCGTGATAATAGTTATAGGCGAAAAGATCGCCAGACTCCTTGACGACGCTGGTCAGTTACAGCTCTGATTCAGCATAGTTATTATTCAATAATTTTACGCGGATGTAGTGGTACTGAACAGTAACGGTATCTAAAGCCGCACAAACACTCTCAAATAATGACAAAGTATAGAAATAATGTTTGGGGTCAACGGTTAAACGTTCATTTTGCTCTAATTCGACGTATTTTTGAACATGTCAGTGAACATAACGATCGCTTCAATATTATGTTGTTGTTGTTCTTGTTCTTTGACACGTTTTTTAAAGAGTCCCTTTTATTTTTAATTACTAGACCAATTGCTTTGAAATTTTTAAGAATAGTTAAAGATTCGTTTTTTATGTGTCAGAATAAAACATAGCGACACCTTGTGACGTGTGAATAATGTTTGGGGATCAAACGTCAATTTTGCTTTGATTTAACGTATTTTTCACCCAATAATTTAACGTAAAAACAATCGCAAAATTAATGACAAAGTATAGAGGACTTGCACGGGTCACGTGACTTTGTTTACCGGACGGCAAAAAAACAAAAACGTTCAGCTGGATCCTGTCAGTTGCAAGTCGGATTATACGTTTCCGTTTTGTTTGGCTGTTGAAAATGGGTATTTTGTATTGTTCAGTTGGCTGTACGTATAGTATAGACTATAGAGTATAGACAACAAAATGTATCTTCAGTTATATGCCACGGTTTTCAAAAGATCCGGAACGTCGCGCAATGTGAATATCATCTATTGGCAGGACTGCTTGGTGTCAAGTCCAGAAGTCATCTCGCTTGTGTTTCACTGTTTGTGGACAGCACTTCGTTGATGGTGAGTGTAATGTGCCGTTATCAATTTCTTTAAATACTCCTAAGCTTCCTCATTTCAATGGAAAGCAGATGACAAACTACTGTTATTGGTAGGCATAGGCCTACTTGCAGACTTGAGGCTTGTGTAAGGAATTGGCATAAGGTATTGTTTCCCTAGTTAGCAGGCAAACGGCCCATTATCACTCACCATCAACGAAGTGCTGTCCGCAAACAGTGAAACATAAGCGAGATGACTTTTGGACTTGACACCAAGCAGTCCTGCCAATAGAATAGATGATATTCACATTGCACGACGTTCCAGATCTTTTGAAAACAGTGGAATATAACTGAAGATCCATTTCGTTGTCTATACTATACGTACAGCCAACGGAACAATACGAAATAATCCTTTTCAACAGCTAAACAAAACGGAAAAGTATAATCCGACTTGCAACTGACAGGAGCCAGCTGGACCTTTTTGTTTTTTTGCCGTCCAGTAAACAAAGTCACGTGACCCGTGCAAGTCCTCTATAAAAATAATGCTTGGGGGTCAAAGGTCATACGTCCCTTTTTGCCCTGATTCAATGTATTTTTTATCCAATACAGGTAGTTTTACTAAAGTCAAAGTAAGTTGCACGCGGGCGCAGTTGTTTTGCACGTCGTGAGCTATAATTGCACGCCGGGGAATTCTGATTTGCACGCGGGAATTTCTGACAAAATTTTTGTAATAGTAAAGTATGGGAAGAATTTTTCTGAGACCAAGGGTCGGGGCAATATCCATTGCGTTCTATTGCGCTCCTAGCTGTTTCTGTAGTAAGTCTTTAGCCAAGTAAGAACATGTAGCATATAAGAACATGTTGTTGAACGTTGTTGATGTAGTTTCATGTTGTAAATATACAAAAAGAACAAACGATGAAGACAACATTAGAACATCGAGAGACGAGACGACACCGATCCAGACGACTTGACTCCTAATACAAGACCTTTTAATACCTTCCCCAAATATCCAATTGAAACCTTATATACGTATGCGCGTATGGTGATATCGATTCCAT